TTCCCTACTGAGAATCTTTGCTCCTCACAGCCTTTGGGGATCCCAAAGTCTTCTGTGATGGGTGCATCCTGGTGCTTTCTCTTTCACAAGCTTTCAAATGGGAACTTTCTAGATGCTTCACCCCAACACACTAGAGAAACTTGTACCCACAGGGAGTTTCCCAGTGAAAATTGATGCGCTTCTTAGGTTTGAGAGTAGGTGTGGAAGGATCTCAATGGAACAACATGGGAGAGGAAAGGGGGACGAGGATAGAAAGAGCAGGGATGGGAGACAGGTAAATGAGAAATGAAACAAAACTGCAGACAGGACCCAAGACGTTGAGGGATTGGAGCACAAAGCCAGGAAGTAGAGGGCAGGGCAAAAGGAGCCAAAACTGCTGTGAGGGCCTTACCTTTTTGTCTGCCTGGTTGTTCATGGGCAGAAGCTGCATTCCAAGATGCCTGAAAATTTAAAGTGGCGTATCCTTCCTCGTCCTGCATCTCCAACCCTCTGTGCTGCCTCCCTGAGGTGTTAAGTACTGGGTGATAATGATGCTCTGGTGGGTCTGCAACACCAAGAAAAGTGATTAATGCTTCCCCATTTCAGCTTAGCTCACACAGAAAACTGAAGCCAGGCTTGAAATAGGCTTGAAATAGGGAACTTGTGGCTTCAGTAGTAAGTGCAAGATACAGTGGGTTGGCATTTTTTCTCTCTCTCCTTTTATTGAAATTCTGCAGTTTTTGAAGATGAAATAAAAAAAAAAATCAATTAAAGGTTTCAAAATGATCATCAATCAGTTTCCTGTCACTACAACTCCTGTAAACATAGACATTGGATTTTTGATACATTATAATGTTTAGTCCATGATCTCTAGTATCCAGGAGGTTGATGAAATGGAGCTTATAGACTCGTCTCTGGGAAGTGTTGTGTAAGTTTCCCTTGAGGATCAGGACTGAGAGATTGGAGAGAGAGTGGCCCTCCTGTGAGAAATGTGCTCCCACCAGTAATTGGGTATTTCTGTCTTTGATAGATTTCCGGTGTGCATTCATTCTGGTGCACAGTTGTTGTTTGGTCTCTCAGAATCACTGTCTGAAGCCTCACACAGCCCTAAAAGTCATGTTTAGAAAGCTGTGTCTGAAGTGAGAGAGAGAAGGAGAGGGATTGAACCAAGTCTGAGGTTTCGAAAGTGTGGTTAAACAAAAGAGGGGTAGAGAGAAAGAGAGAGAGCTGGGGGTCTCACCACTCCAAGGTTCCAAGATGTTTGTTGACAGGCAGAGCCCCCAGCACACTCACTGATTGTATTCCAGGCAGAAAAGGAGTGGAGCTGGTGCAGCTTTTGGATTCAAGCACCAGGACAGAGACTGGAGCTGAGGTTGGGGTTTTTGTAGGGGCTCAAGGGAGAACACTAGGTTTGTTTATGAGTAATCGATGGCTTATATGCTGGATAGTAGGAACTGATCACTCCTGGTTATGGGTGGCATTACTCTGATGAAGCTCAGTAGTCAAACAGGCAGATTCAGTGTTTTGGGTACCAATAAAAGAGTTATTACTCGAATTGATCTGATAGATGCTGAGCTGAGTGTGTGGAGATGTGGGTTGATTAGCATTTGAAGCAGGGATCCCCCATCATGCAGTGCTCCCCTGCTCCTCTGGTCCCAGAGTTCAGTGTGGTCCCTTCCTTGGAATCTCTGTTCTCCATTCTGAATGGTAATGAAGGTGCCGCCCCATCTCATCTGCAAGGTAAATCAGACCAGGGTGGTTGCTATCCTTTTCTGAGGGGTTTAGGCGTATCTTCCAGTGCATCTTCATTGCCTTTTGTAAGTCCTTCTTCTGATCAGTTGTGGTTCA